TGACATAACCAAGCAAATAAAATCATACAAGTGCTTTAAACGAACGGCATTAATAACCAAAGTTTACTTTTTAAAACCCATCAGTTGATAGTAACCTTTGGTCTTAGGTGGGACTGATCAGTTTATAACTGTATATATAGAGAGATACAAATATTACACTAGTCATTTTAGGAATACCTGTACCACTTTACTTAATCACTTGAATGTCCGTCTGTGCATATCAACTTTTTTTTTTGTACAGTAAACGACATTTGCCTATACCATTGTTATTTTTTTTATGGAGAAATGTTTTTTTTTTATCCTTTTGTTTTTAAATGTGTGTTTTAGCTGTTCGAATATTAAAGAAAAAATCAAAAAAAGAAAAAAGTTTTTTTTAATGACATTTCCGCTAATTTCAAAGTTTGCTTGTTGACTTCAATAAAAATTGTTCTGAAAAAATGCCATATAAAACAGGAAGACGGAAAGCAATAGATTTTGAGGATTCCTTTAAAGAAAAATCCCGTGATTTTTAAAAGAGCTGGATTAGGACTCGGGAGTAACGCATGCTTTAATTTTGTAATTTGTACCAACAGTTCATTTTCCAGGACAAGCTGTCCAGAGATCCATTCTCTTTATAATGTAGGCCAGGGGCGTCCCGAGGCCGGGTGTCACCCGGTCTGCAGACCGGGTGACACCCGGACTCTCAGTCCATGACCAAGTGCTCGACTTTATAGAGTGGGTGACACCAAAATGACTGTTAGTCATTTTGGTGTCACCCCTGCAATGGCCGCACCCCCCTTGTGACGCCACTGATGTCGGCACAGTACTGATTTGTAGAGATTTAAAGTGACACTAAACTCAGGATTTAAACCTTTCAAATACATTTGAGAACCTTAAGTATGAACAAAAATGTATCTTATTTGTGTATCACTCGGCTGTAGATCCTCCAATCATCTCTGAATTGGTGCTGACACTGTCCTTCCTTCTGGAAGGGGGCTACTTTTGTTCCCCATGGTCCCCGTGTGTGTTGTAAAGTAGTCACCACTCCAAGCTCACTCCCGGGATGGACTACCATCTCATGTTTAGCTTACTAATTTGTATTGAGATTGTAGTCCAGCCCAGGAGCGAGCTTGGAGCGGTGACTACTTTACAACACACACAGGGACCATGGGGAACACAAGTAGTCCCCTCCAGAAGGAAGGACAGTGTCAGCACCAATTCAGAGAGGATTGGAGGATCTACAGCGAGTGATACACAAATAAAATACATTGTTGTTCATAGTTTTTTCCCCAGTCATCTTCTCTGCCTCCGGACAGGAAGCACATCACCCAATAGAATTCAAAAGAGATCCCACCAGATCACATCCTCAATTATTGTGTTTCATTCATCCAGAGAAGACAAGTCACCTTTTTCTCTGGAGCTCACCCTTTAATGGGTTATGCGGCGTGGTGGCTCCCGGCGCACTCTGCAGGCTAACAGCAAGGAGTTGACCCGGGCTCCCTTTTCCCTTCGTTACCAGGCGAGGGTGTGTACCGGTAACCACGTTGTCCCCAGGATGTTTTGCGCCCCATGGAGGTTCACGCGGCTCTGATTAGGAAACCGCGTGGCGGCCGAACATCACTTCCGGTTTGGGACTCCAACTGTTGTGTGCCCACGGGTGGTCTCCACTGTTTTAAAAGAGCTCTCTGACTGGTAGTACTTCTCCTTATGTCTTCTAGGCCAAAGCCACTGAGAAAGTTAAAAATGTACCTAGAAAGAAATGTGCTCTCTGCGGGTCAAAACTCTGCTGCGTCTACTAAGCCTCTATGGAAATCTTGTATTAAAAACTTACTTAAAGAAGATTCTTCTAATACCTGCAGCAGTCTTTTAGTCACAGTGAAAGAGGAGTGGGCTTCCACTTTTTTCTCTTTCAGAAGTCTGATAGAGGATATGAGAGGAGACCCCCTCAACTTCCAAACCCACTTCTTTCTTATCTAGAGCAGGTATTGGTCTGCCTAGGCCCACTGGTGTGGATGACTACAGGTGAAACTCGAATAATTAGAATATCGTGCAAAGTTCATTTATTTCACTAATGCAACTTAAAAGGTGAAACTAATATATGAGATAGACTCATTACATGCGTGGCAAGATAGTTCAAGCCGTGATTTGTCATAATTGTGATGATTATGGCTTACAGCTCATGAAAACCCCAAGAACCCCAAATCCACAACCTCAAAAAAGTAGATTATTACATGCAATCAATAAAACAAGGATTGTACATAGAACAATATCGGACCTCTGAAAAGTACAAGCATGCATATGTACTCAGTACTTGGTTTGGGCCCCTTTTGCAGCAATTACTGCAATTACTTTTGCACGATATTCTAATTATTCGAGTTTCACCTGTATAGTGAAATGTGCATTCTCCTTATAATGGTTCTTCTGAAGAAAGTAGTTCTCAGGAAGAAACATCCTCTTCAGCCACAAGTTTTAAATTGTCCTTGGATGATATAGAAGACTCTACTCAGGGAAATATACGAAACCTTGGAGATCCAGGAGGACAGAGAGCATTTATCTAGGCATGATTTGATGTACCAGAGTTCGCAGAAGAAAAGATCTTGTGTTTTTCCTGTACACAAGGTGCTTTCCGACTCAGTCCTTAAAGAGTGGCTAGAACCGAAAAAGAAGCCCTTCTTGTCTGATAATTTAAAGCAGAGATTTCCGTTTGATGATGAACCTTCTAGGGTATGACATAAAAATCCTAAATTGGATGTGCCGCTTTCCAAGATCTCAAAAAAAGTCAGACAGAATTTGAGGACATGGGTAACCTTAAAGATGCGATGGATAGAAAAATGGAAGTGCTATTAAAAAGAGCATGTGATTCCTCTCTAGCCAATCTTAAACCTGCTTTAGCCACCACCTGTGTCACATTTGAAAAACCGCCTTATGGCCGACATTCCTAGGGATCAGATTTTGGAATCCCTTCCAATGTTATTTTAAGGAGTGGGTTACATTGCGGACACCTCAGACGAATCGGTTAGAATGACGGCTCGCTCCTCCGCACTAATTAACTCATCCCGTAGAGCCCTCTGGCTGAAAGCCTGGGACGAGGATTCAGCCTCAAAGCTCCACTTGTTTAACTTACCTTTTTCAGGTGACCAGCTGTTCAGGCCAGACCTAGAAGCAGCCCTGGAACGCACAGCGGATAGAAAGAAGGCTTTCCGTATAAAGAGGAAGGGACCATTCAATAGAAGGTTTTTTCATGACCAAAGACCTCAGACAAACAAGGGCAAGGAAGAAAAGCTCAAAAAGAATTAGACGGGGCAGAAAGGGAGAGGTAGTGGAGGCATACTCTTTAACCCCCCTGCTCAAAACCCCAATCAGCAGTGACGCCATCTCTCCAGTGGGAGGAAGACTGGCAAAGTGCCTTCTGCAGTGGAGCCTGATTTCTGCCAACAGGTACATTTTGGGGATTATCGAGCTAGGTTATCAGCTGGAGTACGACAGTCCTCAGCAAAACTTTATGGTGACAGATCTTCCCAAAGACGTGATAAAAGCATCTGCTCTTTGCAGTCTGTTGGGAGATCTGGTAGACCAGGGAGTTATCATCCCTGTACCGAACGAAGAGATGAACACGGGTGTTTATTCTCATGTGTTTGTTGTTCAGAAGCCTTCAGAAAAATTCCGGCTTATTCTGAATTTGAAGTCCCTAAATGTATCGCTAAGATATAAGAAGTTCAGAATGGATTCCATATTTTCCGTAAGGAACATTATTCAGCCAGGAGCCTTCATGGCGACCATAAATATAAGAGACGCTTATCTACATATACCTATCAGAATTATGTCACAAAGGTTCCTCGGGTTGGCAGTCAATATACAGCAGAAGATTTATCACTTCCAGTTCAGAGTCCTCCCCTTTGGCCTATCCTCGGCAATAAGGATATTTTCGAAGATATTGGGAAAAGCCTTAGCCCCTTTGAGGCTCAAAGGGATATGCATAGTTCCTTATCTAGATGACCTGTTAGTGACTGCTGCATCTGCAGACAAGCTGAGGAGAGACTTAAAAGCAGGCCCGGCACTACCGCAAGGCAAGTCAGGCGGCCGCCTGAGGGCGCTGCAGGGTGAGGGCGGAAAAAACAGGGCATTTTGACAAGTACTTGTACTTGTCAAAATAGCGGGGTGGGGGGGCGCAAAAAGTCAACTTTGCCTGTGTTGGCAAAAATCCTAGCACCGGCCCTGCTTGAAAGTCACACAGGAATGGCTACGGAATCTAGGCTGGCTGATCAACGACCAAAAGTCCAACCTGACTCCAGCTCAGACGACAAGATTTCTGGGATACATTCTAAATATTATAGAAGAAAAGATTTTTCTCCCACAAGACAAGATACAGGAGATTGGGCCATGCTTCAAAGAAATCAGGCTGTGTCACTGAGGTCGATCATGTCGGTACTGGGTCTCATGACCTCCACTTTTCCGTCAGTGCAATGGGCGAGGTTTCACCAAAGACAACTTCAGAGTTTTCTCCTAAAGGTGCCCATACACTGCTCGATTCTCGTATAAGAATCGGGCCGGTGGGAGCATGCGCACACTGCCCATTCAGCATTGCGGTCATCGGAAACCCGCCCCTCGGGGGCGGGCTTGCGATGATCGAGAGTACGATTTGCCTGTCCAAGATGGGCAGATCGTACGTTTTTTTAATTACTTTACAACCATCGCAACACTAAGGTATTGCGATGGTTGTAAAGTGTATGGCCACCTTAAGGACTTGGAATCATTGAACGGAATCCTTGGATTTAAAGTGCCATCTTCCAACAAAGGTAAAGCAAGCCCCTCATTAGCAGACAGGAGGGACCGAAGCTCAGGTAAGTATTCCTTCTTTATTCCTTCTCCTAGAGAAAAACGAGCACTTAACCCTTGCAGCGCAGGGGCAGCCCCACTGTAAGGGTTAACTTTTAAAAAGTATGGAGTTCCTCTGTAAAGTAGATGTAAGATTAAAAAAAATGAGTTACCTTCTGTTTGCTAAAATAATGCTTCTTTAAAAAAAAAACATTTTCTTTCACTTTTTTCATCCTTTTATGCATATCCGTGCTGCTGATCTCCGGCAGCTGTTCTGCAACTACTTCCTGTCTGCATGCACTTTCTCCAGACAGTTTTGCATGGCATTTGTCATGACGGGTTTCCTGTTGGTGACAACAGTAAAGCATGCCAGTGCAACTAGCATTGCCACATCTGTAGTCTCAATCTCACACTGCCTTCTGAACTTCCTACGATGTAACATCACCATTGCTTGCTGGAAGCAATGCATGATGGGATATGTTGTCTTGAGAAATGGAGATTGCATCACATCGAGCAGCAGGGAAAGGGACGCAAAGTACACTGATGATCCAGGAAGTTGTTGGAAGCGATGGGCAGACGGAAGGCGGCGCTCACTACGTAAAAGGGATTTTTTCATGTAAGCTTTGATTGTATTACCAGAGACAACTCCACTATGTATCCCTATCACACTGCTGATGTCATAACAGGAGAGGAGATGCCGGGACTTTACAATTCCTTAAATCTTATTCTTCCTGTGATCTTAAAACAGCTCAACTAAAACTTGTTCTTCCTTTTTTTTTTTTTTTTTTTACTTTTTCTCTCCAATGTTCTAAATATAGCCAATCACTAACCTAGCGCTCCCAGAAATAGGACACAGAGGCAGAAATAATTGTCTGACTACAAAAGCCGGCAGTGAAGATTCATCTATACATGCTGTTTAGCGTGGATGGGGGCATTGACTGAAACCTAGCTGTGTATAGCTTGCCTTGGTCCCACCAATGGCCTTTCCACTGTCCAATGAGAGTCTCCTTACTGGCCTGTAAGCCGGTATATGGGGTGAAAAAAATTACATTTTAGTAGTGCTGGTCTATATATCCCAATCTAAACTACGTGGAGTGCTTTAGGACAATTGTCTTCAAATCAGAACTGTTAATATACGCTAATTAGATTCCGCGTTCCATCTCTTTCCTCTCCTCCATGATCGATGGAATTATTTTCATTTACCAATGTACACTGGCAGATTACTTGTGCTGATCTTTCTCTCGATCAATGTGTGTCTTTCCTGTTGGGAGCAGCCAGTCTGGAGCTGTCTGTCAGTGCATAACATACTAGGAATACTATACTTCCGGTTATATACAGTATGTATGTATATATATATATATACAGGGCTTGAAAAATTTGATAGTGTCTCACCAGTCAGTCAAAAATTTCACCAGTCAGCATGACCGGACTATAGACTTGCAATTTATGTTAAAAAAGTTTGGGGACAGATAGAGCTTTCTTTTGGAGGTATATAAT